CACTGTTTGGGATCTACGCTGGCATACATATACCGATTGCTACAATAAACTCACAGTGGTTGTGCATTTTCGTACACCCCGATAAAGTACGAGAACATACGGCTACGGCAAGCCCAGCTGAAGAAGAGCATATTACAACACGTACACCAAAAGAAGATCCCGGATGTGGTTTAAGGTCCTACAAGCCCGTCGTGCAGCCACCAAGTGCACCTGAAGACTAGACGAAAACCTCTGCCAACCTTACCTGGGACCTTGGTCTAATGCAGGTATAGACCCTAAGACCTTTCTCCCTAAACCCCAAACCCTAAACACTAAACCCAAAACCCAAAGAGTTTAGGAGTGGTTTAGGGGAACACAGGGCCTCTACACGTTCGGGCCGATTCCTAAAAGTCAAGGGGAAGACCGATCCCAGAAACAGGCACAAATGCCTAAAACCCTGCATGAATTTAGGGCTTAGGATTAGGGTTAAAGGGGTTTGGGTACTGAACCCAAAACCACGAACACCCCTGAATCCCAAAAAACTTGCGCGAGGCCGACAAAACGGAGGCCTGCTTGCAAGCCTACTTGGACAAGGCCGCACTGGCTGAAGACTCTAGCGTTTGGGGAGCTCCTTGCTTATTGGGATGTTCAGGGTAACTTGTAGGCAACCCTAAACCGTTAACCCTAAACCCTTGTCATACGAACCCTGTGAGAAAACAGGACACCCCAACATACTAGGGAGTCGAGTAGTTCGAGTTAATTTAGGGATCAGTGTCTCCTCAATCCCTTTCTGAACTCAGGCGGCATATTGTGAAGGATACATCCGCAAGTCGTCTTGGGTCATTCTTACGTATCATGCTCAGCCAAGGGGCAATCTTGGCCTTGGGAAGTTGCGGGTTCTTAAGCAATAGACTTTAACTTAGGTGTTGAGTAAGCCACTAAGACGAGGCCGCTACACTGCACAGCCTCAAGGTACTTGAAGGTTCATGGGACTTAATAGCCACTTATAACTGGGCTTATAACCCTACTTATATTTGGGATAACCCCTATAAGGCCCTTTAGGGGTATTATAAGCAGGGTTATAAGTACAGTTATAGGTGGCTAGTAAGTACCATGAACCTTCCAGGAAGGCCCCAAACCCTAAACCCTAAACCCCAAACCCTAAACCTTAAACCCTAAACCCCAAACCCTAAACCCCAAACCCTAAACCCTAAACCCTAAACCCCAAACCCTCAGTCCTCAGTGCGGTCGGCCTTTGCCTGTGCCGCCCCAGATCTTCGAGCCACAGGGCTTGCTGGAGATGGCGTTCACTGGCTGCTACTCCACTGGGGTTTAGGGTTTAGGGTTTAGGGTTTAGGGTTCAGGGTTTATGTTTAGGGTTTAGGGTTGGATGTCATGACCCCTCGAAAAGAGGGCAGCACAAGATCAGCGCAGAGATGGTTCCATGGACAGCCTGCCTGTGAACCCTAATAGGGTTTAGGGTTCAGGGTTTAGGGTTTAGGGCTACTACTTGGAGGTCCATGGGCAGCTATACGCAGGGTTATAAGTAGGGCAACTGTACTTGTAACGCTCTGTAGGGCGCTTACAACCCCTGCTTATGACTTCACATGGGCCTCCAAGTAACCCACACAGGCCCATAGCCCGGCTGGCCAGGCCCTGTACGGGAGAAGCTCCTTTCCAAATCCCTCCAGTTCCCCTGCCCAAGCTGCCTATGAAAGACTCCCCATCAGGCTTAAACCCTCTTTGGCCGGTGGGCATTTCCTGATTGTGAACCCTAGTGTTCCCCCAAATGCTCTGGAACGTGCCTGCCCAGGTAGGAGTATCACCTTACACTTTCTAAGTATGGTAGACATATGGCCCAAACCTAGGGTACTTATAACCCTGCTTGTAGCTGCCCATGAAACTCCAAGTAAGCCCTCTCCCTACATGCTGAGCTTAGCGCAGGCGCAGGAGTCGATGCATTCCTCCGTTGCGGGGGCCTCCGTGAAGGCTCCGAGACATAACGGGCTCAGGGCTTCGGGTACTAGAGGGGCCGAAAGGTGAAAAGGTTTGGGGGTTTGATGACTTCGGCCTTTGGAGCTTGTACCCTAAAGAGACCCTGAGCCCTAAACCGAATGATAGGGTTTGGGGCACAGGGCTGGATGGTTCAACCTTCAACCCTAAACCCCAAGCCCTAAACTACCCGTGAACCTCCCAAAGCACCCCAATTTGCGGCATCTGCCGGGCGCTGCAGTGCGAACCACGTGTTCGGAACATGCCATGTTAGCACGCTCGATCGATTTGGGTTTAGTGTTTAAGGTTGAGGGTTTGAAGCTTGGGGTTTCAAGGTGTGTAGGGCTTAGGGGTTTTCAGATTCATTGTATCTGACCCGATCTGGACCGGGTGTCTTTGCAATCGTCAAGAGTAGTAGCAGCTTCTTCACAACGCAGGGAGGCAGCTTCTTAGAAGGGATCCTCAATTCTGATTCCTTTGTATAACCCTATATAGGCCTCAAAAAGGGCCCCCTTATATAGCCCCTACGTACCCAAGTCCCTCTTTCAGTCCCTTGAAAACCGCCTACTCTCACGTCGAAAATGGTGGCTTAGGTAGCGCTCCATCCGTGTGGGAATCCCATAGTAGTGAGTGTGTGAGTGGCATGGATCCCCCCAAGCCCACTTGAGGTTTCGGGGTTTAGGGTTTTATGGGTTTAGGGTTTTGGGTTTGGGGTTGGGGGTTTAGGGTAGAACCCAATGATACGTGTAGTTATAACGCACTTGCAAGCCCCAAAAAGATGACTGTCATGGACATAGTTCGGGGGTATGTGCAGCCCTACTTGGCTTCTGAACAAGTACCATGAACCTCCAAGTAAACGGTAAACCCTGAACCCTAAACCCTCAACCCTAAAACCCTAAACCCGAAACCCTAAACCCTATACCCTAAACCCCAAGCCCCGAACCCACAAACCCCTAAAACCAAGCGGCAGCTTCGAGCAGGGCAAGCGGCTGCTCCTTCGCGATCTCAATGATGCGCAGGCACCCGTCAACCTTTTGGGCTGGCTTTGGGGTTTAGGGTTCAGGGTTTAGGGTTTCGGGTTTAGGGTTCAGGGTTTAGGGCAACCATGAATTCTAAGGGCTTGGGGTTTAGGTATTAGGGTTCAGGTTTTAGAGTTCCGAAGCCCTAACAGACCCCCTTTATAGATCCTAAAGGGTCGGCTTTTCCCTGACGTAGGGTTTAGGGTTGGGGTCACCTAGGTTTTAGGTTTAGGGATTCATGGTTCAGCTATATGGCGTTGGTGCCTCAGTCTATCCTACTGAGGGACATGTACCCTTTTCAACCTCAGAAAACGCAAAGCACAGAGCTTCTTGAACTCGGTGGGTGTAGGAATTTTGGCTCCTGGGTCTGTTTAGGGGTTGAGGTTTAGGGTTGTTAAGGGTTTAGGGTTGTTAAGGGTTTAGGGTTTAGGGTTCAGGGTTTCAGGTTTAGGGCTTAGGGTTTAGGGTTCAGGGTCTGCCGTGGAACCCACAAATCTCAAACCCTGCGAACAAGGCTTGAGGCTTTTTAGAGCGCTTGCGTGGAGGGGCCCTGGTACTACACTAGTTAACTCTAGTAAAGAGAACTTATATCCGAAGCGAGAATACTCGCATAAAACCCAAACATAGGGCCTGAAAGTCTGATTGCTTCAAGCCACCCCGCGAACTATTGCTGAGCCTTGGGGGTGGTGGGGGCGGGGGGAGGGCATAGGAGCCCTTGAAATTCTGGTCAAAACCCGAAACCCTAAATCCCTAAACCCTAAATCCCTAAACCCTAAACCCTAAATCCCTAAACCCTGGAGTTTTCAGACTGCGCAAGACTGACCTGTCCCAGGCGCACTTCAGAGACTCCTTGTCGCAACTGAAATTCCAGGTGCAGGCTGGGGGGAGCCTTAAAGTCTACACCGCGGCAGCTTTTGGGTTCGGGGGGGGAGGCTCAGGGATCGTGAATGAAGGCCCTAAACCCAAAACACTAATCCCTCGAAGTTCTTTGGTCTACATGTTCCTCCCCCGCCAGCCTCAACGCGCCTTTGATCTACATCCACTTGCCTTCCTTAGGGTTTAGGGTTTAGGGTTTAGGGTTTAGGGTTTAGGGTTTAGGGTGTAGGGTGTAGGGTTTAGGGTTTAGGGTTTAGGGTTTAGGGTTTAGGGTTTAGTTGCTTAAGAACCCCCAAAAAACAAAAAAGTCTTCCTTATAAGAGTAATATAGGGATTATTATTTTCTATTTTTGAGGGTTCTTAAGGGATAGTAGTTGCCATGCTTGGAGGTTCATGGGCCATTCTGAGTAGGGTTGTAAATACCCTATTTTGGGTTATAAGTATAGTTGCCATGCGTAGCCATACGTAAAACCAGCCATGAACCTCCAAGTGAGACTCCTGGGTTCTGTCATCATCCCAGATTGAACGGTTCCAGGGATTTTTCGTGGTGCAGGGTTTGCGGTTTGGTCTACGTGCTGCCCTACACCCTAAACCCTAAACCCTAAACCCTAAACCCTAAACCCTAAACCCTAAACCCTAAACCTGCTCTAAGCAAGTGAGTGCCACCCCCCCTACTGCAAGGACCACAGGGGGAACCTCCAGCCCGTAGCTGCAGGGACCTACCCACCCTTCAAACAAAGAAGTTCCTTAAGCCAATTTGGGACGTTCTCCGCCCTATTCCCTAAACCATCCAAAACCCCAAATTACAAAGCCTTAAGTAGACCCCAACACGCAACGCTGACCCTTCCTAAACACTAAACGACAAACGACAAGAAAGAAAACACACTCCACAAACAAGCCCGGGACCCTGGTCCTAACCCTCCTGAAGCTTAGAACCTCCCACTCCCCCGGGAACCCTGACCCCTACCTCCCCCTCTCGGGGGGACGGCCTTTTGCGACCAGAACCAAAAGCCTCGGATTTGTGCGTGTCATCCTTGCAGCAGGGGCTGCTGCTTCGCTGCCTTGCAAGCTGAGGTTTCACACAGCTCAAAAACTCTTTCCTCCTCTCAGGAGGTTTAGCATACTCTCGAACGATCATGCTGGCTTTACAAAAGGTAATCGGATCCGGCTATTGACACAGGCCCACCAATCGGCAGAACACTTTGGCTTAGTCAAGATGTCAGCGAGTTGATATTCGGCTGGGAGCCAGTACAGCGGGATCTTGTCTACAATCCTCTCAAGGTGGAATGCCTGTCGCAGAGCTGCAAGGTCAATCGCCAGACGTTTGTCTGACGGCACACGAGGCGCGCCCTCGCAGTGCAAGTGGTCATACAAGGATTTGCAGTCTGTGATGCAGCGGAGTTTTCCCCCGGCTAGGCTTTCAACTCGACAAAGCTCTCCCCTGAGGACTGTCTCGATGAATGAACGAACATATAGACCCATTTCTATGGCTTCGGAGCATGCTGTTGTTTCGGCCCCGAATGTGGAACGACAGACTCGCGGGTTGGCTGAGGATTTCCAGTCGAGAACACTCACTGCACCTCCACCAGACTGATAGTGCTTCGGGTCCGTCAGCGCGATCAAGATGCCCATTTGGCTGGCCACCTTTGAGTTCTCCTTCTTGGCTTTCCTTGCTTTCTTGTCGCAAGGGGTGTTATGCATGATGCCGGCCTGATGATCCTCTTCGGTCAAGATGAACCCGGCCTCGCCCTCAAGGGTGGTGTTGGCCCACGCAGAGTCATGAAAAACCAGATATTCCAAGGAAGATAAATTTAGCGGCTTCAAGCATATCCCTTGACTCCGGTGTTCCCACGCCCGTCTGGCCAACTTATTGGTGAACTTGATGTCTTCAACTAGCGGCCTCTTTTGGAGTTGTTGCGCAAGTGATACTCCGCATTGTAGGTCAGGACGGGACTGCCGACACCTACAAGGGACTGATTGTCGATCCTCTGCGTTTCCGATGCCTCATCAAGGTCGTCCTGTCCCCGGACCAGTTCCACCTCGAAGAGTCTTGAGCTGGCATAGGACTCCTGGTTAATGTAGACACCCTCTTCCGTGATGCGGACGTATGACCCTATGTATTCAAACTCATCCTCCTCCCAGCTGTCCACTGGAAAGATGCTGGAGAGCTTCTCTTTGAGATTCGAAACGAGCGATTTCGGCCCGACTACCAGAAGATCGTCAACGTGGACGCCGATATAGGCAAGTGGTGTCGGGGAATCCCCTTTTACAAGTTGAAACAAGCAAGGGTCTAGGGGACACTGAACAAAGTGCATGGTCTGTCCTTCGTGGATGATCTCGATGTTGAGGAGGTCCCTCTTTAGCCGCTTCCACCATTTCCTGGGCGAGTCAGGAAGGCCAAAAATGCCCTTCCTAATCCGTAGGAGTTGGTCACTCTCCAAACCCTTCAAACCGTATTTAGGCTGTCGTAGGTAAAGCTCACGGTACATCTCATCTCCGTTGAGAAAGGCTGCGGTGATGTCGCCCGCAGTGGCCACCCAGTTGTCGCTCTTCTTGCGACTGCTCAGGATTTGCATCAGAGTTAAGATGGTAAGTCTCCCGATGGTGGGCACGTCGGTTTCCAAGTGGCGAACATCTGGATCTTTATGTCCTGACACTACAAGGCGCGCCTTGGTTTCCAAGGTGTCTTCGGGTCTATCTTGCGGCGGCTCCAATGCTTGCCTCGGTAAGCAAATCTGGATGAGAGGATCCTATCAGCACTGACTTCCTTCAGAATTCGGTCGGATTCCTCCACTGAAAGCGGTTCAAGCGCATGGTGGTCCAAATGTTCCTGGAATTGTTTATGCTCTGCCAGGCGAAACGCTGCGTGCTCCTCCGGCGGGACCAGCCTCCACGGGATCTCTTTTTCTAATTGCTTCTCCAACGCCCTCTCGGTCTGGCATCTTTTGAGCATGTGGGCTGTCTGTACTGCTGCTGCCGGTGTCTTTTGTCTGACACGCCTAGTCACTCTAGGATGTGCCGCGGGATCTTCTCTCCTCTTTCGATCATTGTCACGGCCTTCGGTGGTGGCGTTGTCGTCGTCTCCCCCATCTCCACCTTCGAGGTCATACTGGAACTCCAATCTTCTTCAGGATCAAGGTCAAAGTCCTCTTCGAGCACAGGTGACATGGCTTGTTGTGGGTCGTCGTCAGCAACAGGTTCGGTGTCTGGCAGTTCATATGTTTCAGGATCGTCGGGGTCCAGTTCGAGCAGCCTCTCGAGGTCATCCCTGGCGATACGTGTAGAGAAAATCTCTCCCATCTCTTCGGCGGTAGCTGGTCTCAGGTGCTCCTCTGCCACTAAATGGCATCTACCCCCAAACGAAACCCACCAGTTGCCGCCTTCTGCTCATCGTCCCTGGGCCCTGACATGAACCCCTCTTCGTGGCAACCTTTTCGATGCGATAGAAGCACACCAGCTCCCAACAGTATACCCACCGCGTTTCACACGTGCTCTCTGAAGTAGGGCCCGCCTAAACTTCGTGTCTAGCTGGGTTCGAAAGAAAGCCATCTTCGCAGAAGCCCGAACACTGACCTCTCTCTGTCGTCGCTTGTCCTCCGTCATGATCTCAATGAAGCGTTCCTCGTCGACGCCAGCACAAAGTTCCTCAGGAGCACGCGGGTCCCTACCAAAGACTGCCTGGGAAGGGGAGAATCCATGTCGCCTCCGCAACTCATTCTTTGCACTGTTCACCGCTTGCACAGCCATGTACATGTCTTCGGATGTAATTGACTTATCATCGATAACCCTTTGCAGGATCTCCTGATACCAAAGGCCATGTCTCTCGACTATGCCCTGTTGCCAGTGTGCTTGGCCAGCTGAGCTTCTCAACCGACTGCCGTGGAACTCCGCATACTTCGCCACCCCCGTTTGCAGACCTGTTTCCAAGTCAGCAGAGATGGTGCCTGGTGCCCCGAACACATTACCCCAGAGTTGCGTAAACTGCTTGCAGAATGCATCCCCGGAGTGACCCTCAAGTTCAGCAACCAAGTGGAAGGTTGTCGCGTGATCGATGACTGATAGGAATTCGTGCCTCGCACGATTGCAATCGAAGACGGAAAACACATCAATGCTGACTACTTGGTTCATGTCGAGGAGTGATGGCAGCACAGCTGGTCTAGCGCTGCCAGTCTTCTGATTTCGATCACATACATCACATCGCATCAATTTGCATGCCTTGAGCACTGCTTCCTCTGCCCCAGCATAGCGGAGATGTCGCACCATATCAATGACCTTTGGGTGCCCAAGATTCTGATGCAATCTAGTTAGGGCTGTCTGAACATGTTTCGGAACATCACCGTCAAAACGAATGGCAGAGGCTCCCTGATGATCACATCGACCTTCCCTACCAGCATGAGATGCGACATGTGCTTCACATTCACTTCCTGCAGCGTCAAGAAACAGGCGTCGATCCTCGACATGTTCTCCAACTCGTAAACGACGGATTCCATCGAGGTCCTCGAGCGAGTGGGGTTGATCACGTATCAGCTGTTGTATAGAGGGCATGGTCCAAATGGGGTCGACTATCTTAGCCTGGTAGACTACAGATCCTCCCAAACTGAGCTGGTACATGACGGTGTTCATGAAGTCCTCCCCGACCTCGAGCGTATTGTCGGTACCTGGGAACCAGATAACATGGGGTTTGAGGGTAGATATCGTGTCGCGCACATTCGTGATAAGGTCTGTGTTCATGAAATCGGCCCATGATAGTGGTTCAATGGTTGAGAAGCCATGTTCAATAGCCTCGTATGTGAGCTTATCGCCGCCGATCTCCAGCAAGCATGCCTGACCGGGTGTTTTCCCAGGGGGAAGGAACTCGCTAATGAATGAAGTCGCTGCAGCTAGCCCGAGGGTCATCAATGAGCTAGCTCGCCTCGCCCCTTTCCATAGGCTCCGGCGCACACTCTTCTTTGGCCTCAGGACATGTTCCCGTTCCCCTCTTCCAGCGTCACCCTCAGAGCGTCCCAGCGGAAAGCCCCCACTTCTGAGTGCGCATCCCTCTCGGGCCTTGCCAGTTCGTTGATCCCGCGGGTGGCGTAGGCGACGATGCTGCACCTGTTGCCGGACCACTGTTCAACAGCGTGACGTGTCTTAGGGGAAAAGGATGTCATGTGGTGACGGATGTTGACGATCTCTCCCTTGGCCTTCGTCCCATCAGAGAGTACTGTTTCATGTGCTCCGGGCTCTCCGTCATCCTCGGTTTGAACACTGCTCTGCTCAAGCCAAAGTCCCCCTTGGTTGAAGTCCCCAAACGCAATGACCCAATCGAGACTGCCGGCCAAGTTATTCACATCCTTGTGAGGCCCAACGTGACAATTATGGCAAAGCTGAAGACTAGGCCATTGCCCCTTTGCACCATGGAACTTCATGAATCTGGAGACATGCCAGAACTCTAGGTTCGTTTGATGATACCGTAATGGTTGCCATAGGAGTAGGCCCCGACCGCAACACTCGCAGTCCCATCCATGATTTTCCTCTCTCGGGAGTGCTGGGCAATCTCATTGCGGCAGGGATGGGCGACCGCGTCGGAGTACGCACGAGTACGCCCGAGTACGCACGAGTACGCCCGAGTACGCACGAGTACGCCCGAGTACGCACGAGTACGCCCGAGTACGCCCGAGTACGCCCCAGTACGCACGAGTACGCCCGAGTACGCACGAGTACGCCCGAGTACGCCCGAGTACGCACGAGTACGCACGAGTATGCACGAGTACGCACGAGTACGCACGAGTACGCACGAGTACGCCCGAGTACGCCCGAGTATGCCCGAGTACGCCGAGTACGCCCGAGTACGCCCGAGTACGCTCGAGTACGCCCGAGTACCCCCGACTACGCACGAGTACGCACGAGTACGCACGATTACGCACGAGTACGCACGAGTTTGTTTCAAAGCATGTGCATACATTGTTGGAAATCCATCATGCGAAAGTCGTGTTTGCAAAATGCGGGGGGAGGGGGGGGGGGGGGGGGCTCCCCAACCCCCGCTTTATTTTTAGCCGCGCAAGCTTGCTTCAACGCATATGCATACATTTTCGGCAACCCATCATGCGAGCATCGTGTTTGCAAATGGGGGGGCTCCCCCCCCCCCCAACCCCCCCGTTTTTTTTGAGCCAAGCAAGCTTGCTTCAAAGCATATGCCATATGCATACATTAAAATGTTGCAAATCCATCATGCCAGAATCGTGTTTGCAAATTTGGGGGCCTCGCCCCCCCCCCCCCACCCAACCTCCCCGCTTTATTCATACATTTTGAAAACCCATCATGCGAGAATCGTGTTTTGCAAATGGGGGGGGGGGCTGCGCTCCCTCCCAATCCCCTCCTTTGTTAAAAGCCGCGCAAGCTGTCTTCAAAGCATATACATACATGCCGTTCGTTCGTGCAAGTCCAACAAAGTAAACCCTATATTTGTTACGTAAGAAAACCTCTACAGCAAACCTCTATGCGTCTCTCTGGTTTAGAAGCCCTATGTGTCCTTCGATTTTAAACCTCTTTTCCTTTTGTTTGGAAAACTCTTTCTGTTTCTGTTGGTAGTACAACCTCTAGTTTCTTGTGTATTGCATAGGCAAACCCTCTTTCCCCGCCTTCTATGGATAACCTCTATCTCCTTTCACTTTTAACATGGTAAAATCCTACCTTTCACGGACAAAACCCTAAGTTTCCTTGGTATTTGAATAGGAATACCCGCATTCCCTTTGTATGTTAAGAATAGAACCTGTATTTCCTTTGTACTCTATGCGGAAAACCTCTATTTCTTTAGATTTCAAGAGGAAAACCTCGGATTTTGATGGGAAAACCGCTATTTTCTCTGGATGTTAATAGGAAAACCTCTTCTCTTTGGATTTTAATAGGAAAACCTCTATTTTCTTTGGATTTGAACAGGAAAACCTCTATTTTCTTTGGATTTCCTCTATCTTGCAATAGGGAGGCCCCCCCAAAAAAAAAAAGTTGAAAGGCAAAAAACAATTAAAATAATTCCTCGACCATAGGTTTACAGCAATGTAGACTTAGCAAGAACCCTGGATACCCTCACGCACGAGTTTTGACCATCTGCAGACTCCCAGCGACCTTTGCCACGAAAAGGATGGCCATAGCTTCTTGTGCGGAACCCAAGTTTGAAGCACACAGGTTTTTCCTTTATTGGCCTCAAGGGGTTTTGGAAGAACCCAAGTTTAAAACATACAGGTTTTTCCCCTTTTATCCTTAAAAGGCTTAGGCATTGCCTGGGTAGGCCCTTACAGGGGGTTAAAATGAAGACAGGGCGGGGGGGGGGCACCCAGCGCATACTTGGCGCATACCCGGGCACCCGGCGCATACCCAGCGCATACCCGGGCACCCGGCGCATGCCCGGGCACCCGGCGCATACCCGGCGCATACCCGGCGCATACCCGGCGCATACCCGGGCACCCGGCGCATACCCGGACGGGCACCACCTACAATATTCGGGGTCGCTGTTTCCGTCCACTCTGGGCAATCTTACAGGCTTGCATCACAATCTGCTCGCACGCTTCAAAGCTGAACTCTTTTTGTGCCAGAAGCTTCTTGGCCTGCACCTCAACTGATCCCTTGTCGGACCCCCCATCTTCTGCTGGAGTATTCTCCTGGCAATCAAAGAAACAATCGCCTGCCCCTATGTCGGTTCCACCAGCATAGGACAGGACCCGAAGAGTATCCATCTCGCCAGGCGCACCCTCAACTTCCAAATGGTTGCCCTCCGACAGGTCTTCATAGTCCAGATCTCTTCCGACCTGATTCAAACATGGTACTTGTCCTTGATCATGGCCATGCGCAACTGCAGGGCCTCGAGTTCCTCCTGGATCTCCGGCGGGATGTCCACTGCCATCTTCTCTGCCTCCTCTGAGTTCGCCGGTCGCTTCGGCGGTGCCTCCGTGGGCGGGCTCTTCGAGGATGCCGCGGTTGATGACTTTGCTCTCGGGTTCATGATAGGAAGCTGGGACTGGTCCGTCGCCTCCAGTGGCAGCCAGTACTCGTCCTCCCACACTGATGCGCTCCATGCCGACATGTGGTGGTGCTCCGCCGGCATGGGAACCATTGGGGATGACTCCGGATCGTCCATCTCCGTCGTCTCGCCCAGCACACGTCCAGCGTACTCGCTCAAGGATACAAGGTCTGCATTGCATCCTTCCTTGCCTCTCGCAGCGACTTCCTTCACCGTCCACTGGAGATAGCTGCGAGGGATTTCTCTATACATCTTCCCTCCCTTTCGTGCAACAGTCCCTGATGAGCAAGGCCATGTGCCCCTTGGTGGCCCCCTCCGGAACCGGTGTCTCCAGGCGCCTGCGCTCGCTCGCCAACTGCTCTTTGTTCATCGATGCAAGCCCTTTCGGCGCCGAAGACATGTCGCCCATGGCCTCCTTCTTCTCCTGTATGAGTTGGCGCAATTCTCCTGCAGACCATGACTGGTGGATGGTGATGTTCAAGGCCCGGGCCTTCGCCATCAGTTGCTCCTTTGACATGTTCCACACATTTTCCTTCGGGGACGCCATCACTCGGAGACGAGGGACGGGAAGCACAAGGGGTCTCAGGAGTCACTCGAGAAAAAATCGTCCTACCGATCCACAATATAGGATGTGAAGTGTCTTCTGTATCTATCCACGTGTCATGGATCTGCTGCATGCCGCTGAGGTTACTGCGTGAGATTGCCGATGCGCTTCTAATCTGTCCCAATGCAGCCAGCAGTCGCGACTTGTTCTCCTCTTGGTCGGTGTTCCAGCACGAAGGATCGAAGAAACCTTTTCGGGGCACCACATGCACTCTCACGAAGGAACTAGCGGTCTCAATCCAGAGATCCTTGGAGATAGGTGTTCGCGCCCACCATGCTGCAAATGACTCTACCTTTAGAGGCACGTCACAAAGGATATGTCGGACTGCAGCATCGATCTTCTCCGGATAGAAAATTCTTGGAGTCATGTTGCCCAGCGGTCCTCCAGGTGGAAATTGCTTATTCTTAGGGCCAACGGGGTGTTCAGAGCCAACATGTCCCTCAACTGCAGTCATGAGCACACTATGGGCCATGTATTGCTCTCGTGCGAAGGAAAAGATCTTCACCTCATCCTCTGCCCACTCTTTGAGCGACGGCAGTTTCGGACTCTCTGAGGGCCGTGGATTCACTTGGATCGCGGGGTGGCCGTTATCTGTCGTGAGGAGTCTGAAGTTCTCCACCCCTAGGTGCTTAAAGCTTGTGCTGTGGGCCTCAATGTCGTACACCATGCCGAGCGTGCTGAGAGCCTTTCTGCTAAGGAGTAGTGGTACCTCGCCATCGACCACAGATGCACGAACAACGAAGTAATGCCCCATCACCCCTCAATCGTCACCGTGGCCG